TTCCTCCTTCTCTTTCCTCCTTCTCTTTCCTCCTTCTCTTTCCTCCTTCTCTTTCCTCCTTCTCTTTCCTCCTTCTCTTTCCTCCTTCTCTTTCCTCCTTCTCTTTCCTCCTTCTCTTTCCTCCTTCTCTTTCCTCCTTCTCTTTCCTCCTTCTCTTTCCTCTTCGTCTCACGATTTCTCTTTTGTGCTTTGTATCTGTTTGTGATACGGCTGGCTTCCTCAGCGTATCATATACCTGCTTCCTGCAAAAGGATCTACCAGTTTGGATCCTATTGCAATGCTACTGTTATCTTGTGAGCTGCAGTTTGATGTTTTATTTAATGCTTTTTATATTCTTTTTATATTTTTATGCTACAATTTAATGGTTCCCACTTTTTTATTCTCAATTGAGAACAAAAGTGCTCTCCATTTTCTCATCTGTGCTCTGTGATTGGTAATTTATTTCCCTCCATCCTGTCTCTTCTGTGCTCATGTGTCCGTCTTGTCTCTGATTGGCCGCTGGTGTTGTCATGTGACGTCCTCTCAGTGTCTGCACAGCATGTCCGTGATCACGCAGCAGCGCCTTCTCGCCTCCGATAACAAGGTTCTTTCTGTTCTTTCTTCCTTTTTCTAAGCTTTCCTATGTAGAATACAACAGCTTCTGACCCCGTTATATGCAAGTGTTTCCTGTGGCTACAAAGTAGATCTCTGCCTGTCCACAGTAAACAGAGATCAGAATATGCTGTTTAATCAGATCAGCATCGACGGTTTATAGACTTGTGGTTTTGTTCCAGGGGATTATCTGCATCAGCTAATCCTGTGCACAGTACAGATTATAATCCTATCCGAAATGGTAGATTGCACCATTGTTTCTATGCTTCTATAGCTCTTGCTGGTCTAGAAATATTCCAATTACAGTAAAAGTCAGAATCTGTTGTGTTAGGACGTACATAATGTAGCTAAATGGGCACATTAAATATCTGCTTGATAAAATTCTGGCCTTACATTCTGAGGATTGGGATTCCTGAACTTATTCAGGTAACGCAGTTTTAGCAGTACAGTGGTACCTCTGTTCACGAACGCTTCTGTTCGCAAACAATTCGGTTCGCGAACAGGATGTTCGGCAAAATTTTGCTTCCGTTCGCGAACTCCGCATTGGGTGAGTAACACAACCACAGCCATCTTCCCCGCTCTGACACGTGGTCGTGGCTTCCTTTAGTCGAGATTGCAGTCTGATTACAGTTCAATTCGGGTTCGCGACCAATTCGGTTCGCGACCAGAATCGTGGAACGAATTAAGTTGGTGAACCGAGGTGCCACTGTATTTGCAATAGATACATTTGACCAAGTTTGTAAAATCTGGGCGAGTGGCGCCAAGGCTAGAATTACACAGGTGATGACAACAGAAGACTGCTTGTAAAATCAGATGCAACTCTTATACAGTCAAATTTGTCCATAGCGGCCATTTGATATCAAAACAAATATTAATCGGTAGAAGTCGTAGTTAGCACTTCATAAACAGGTGGGTCGTAGCCATATTGGGCCTAAAATACACTATATGAGCAAATGATTGTGGATATCTTGCCAGCACACCTACTGCATGCTAAAATCATGTGGACATCCCTCTAAAAGGATGATTGGGGTGTTTTAATTAAAGGCTACTATTAATGCCACAGCATTCAGAAACTTTTTAGAGAATTGTGTGCTTCCAACCTTGTGGCAATAGTTTGACCCTTTTATGTCCTAGCATCCCACACAAAAGTAGGTCCACAAATACATGGTGTGGTGCAAGTCGTATGGCCTGCACTTAGCCCTAATCTCAACCCTACTGAACACTTTTGGGTTACATTGGAATGCTGGTTGTAAACCGGGTCTTCTTGTCCATCATCACCTCATAAATGCAGTTTTGGCTTAATGGGCACAAATTCATTATATATATATATATATATATATAATATATATATATATATATATTTTGTACTTCAAAATCCTGTGGTAAGCCTTTCCAGAATAGTTGAGTCAGCTGTATGTATGGTTGACCATGTAATAAGGAGTTGCTGAGCTCTTCCTTATTATGTTTACAGCTCAGTTTGGGAATCAATTTTCCTGCTTGTCTGGGTAAGTCATGCCCAAGGGGTAGTCTGAAAGCCGTAGCTTACACCATTGTGTCTTTTTTTACCTGTGCAGGCCCTGGCTAGTATGAGCCTGAACACTCAGCCTATCCTTAACCTGGACAGATTCCATGAGGGCTCAGAGGCTGCCATGCTCCGACCTCACAGTGATGCCCAGGGTACCCCTTCGACGGAGTTTAACCCCCTTATTTATGGAAACGATGTCGACTCTGTAGACGTGGCGACACGGTAAGGTGGCAGATACTATTGTGTTTAGAGCTTTGAGAGTGTTTGTCAAACCTTGGTCAGTTGCATTCTTCTATTGCAATCTCTGCAGTGTTTAGATACAGTGTGTAAGGGTGCCCATACACCTTACAACTATCGCAAGACTTTTGTTTTGTGAGGGTTGTAAGGAATTTAAAAAAGCGTACAATCTGCCCATCTTGGACAGGCAGATCGTACTTGCGATCATCGCAAGTCCGCCCCCCTGAGGGGAAGCCTTCCGATGACTGCAATGCTGAACGGGCAGTGTGCGCTTGCGCACACCGGCCCGTTCAGCATTTGTCTTACGAACATGCCACAAACCGTACGTTTTCGTACGATTCTCGGCGGGTTTTCGAACATGCTTGTAAGACAGAAGTCATGCGGCCTTACAGTAGCAGAGATCGCACGCCTTCCATACACCTTGCGATTATCGCGGGATTTCCCTCGATTATCGTACGATAATCGCAAGGTGTATGGGCACCCTATGGGTCAACTTTCCCATATGTGTCTCCTATGTACACAGCTGCAACACTGCTGCTTCTGTATTGGATGTTGCGCTATAGTAGATATTCATGCACAGACTTGCCTTCTTTTGGGCCTGTGTCGATTTGGCTTCTATTCCTTTCAATCGGGTTTTGCATTCCCATAAAGTCTATGAGAATGCAATACCCGCTTAAAGCACATCAAATGTAGGTCAGAAGGAGGTCAACGGCACGTCCAATGCTCCTGCCAATGAATTCTGAATGCTCTAGGACTTAAGCCATTGATACAAGCCCAAAGCCATTACACATGGGCCCTTCCTAACTTCTTACAGAGACCTCATGTGCACCCTCTTAGGTCTAGTCACTGTAGTCTTAATACAGTAAGCAGTGTGATTGGTAGGTAGACCTTTGCCATCCACATTTGTCGGGGCTACTCTCTAAACTGGTGTGCGATATCCAAGCAGCTCATTGTGTTTGAACATACAGCACATCACATGTGCATTCTGTGGGCATTTGTGTAGATGTTCTATGACAGCCTTAAAGGGGTTCTAAACCCTCCCGTTTTTTGCCTATATCTACTGCTATCAAGCAGTAGATATAGGCAAACAGTTTTAACAAAAAAATGCTAAAACAGCAGTTTAAACTTACCTTTTTTTCTTTGCGCGCTCCCGCTCGAGAAAAGGAAACTGTTCGGGCGGCCGCAAAGGATCTTGGGGCGGGCGCATGCGTAGTTCGGATTCTCGGCCGGGAGACGAGCAGAGACGCAAGGTAACTGTATGGACGCGTGCACCCGCATGCAGACACCGCTGGATCGGAGAGACAGAGCAGTCAGCGCTGGATCGGAGAGCCGCCGCATCGCTGGAGGGACAGATGTAAACATCAGGAAAGTGCTAACATTAACATGGGGGTGAGGGAAAAAACAATTTGACTTTAATGCCACTTTAAAGCTGAGCTCCAGCCTAACCGTCAGTCTTGCAACATTGCAAAGGCTCTTCCCCTGTACCGAAATCGCTTGCTTTGATTTTTACAGCACACTGTGAGCTTCTCACAGTGGTTCTTAAGGTGCCCATACACCTTACAATTATCTGCAGATTTTCTATGGTCAGATGGAAAAAGTGCAACAGATTGGCCCAGGTGGAGATTACTCCACCCACACAGTTAAGTGTAGATGGAGGAATCTGTTGCACCTTTTCCATCTGACCACAGAAAATCTGCAGATAATTGTAAAGGTGCCCATACACCTTACGATTATCGTACGATAATCGTATGCGATCGACTTTTCGTACGACAATCGTAACGTGTGAATAGAGTGCCCGACCGATAGTACTGTACAATCGTACGACTTTTGACGGTCAAGCATGTTTGAAAACTTTGGTTGATCGTACGATGTTCGCATGGTTGGTGGCGTTTCCGTCCGTCAAAAGTCGTACGATTAACACTGCGCATGCGCAAACGAAAATAATTGCGGTCAATTACCGCAAGTCGTCCAGGTGTTTTTTTCTAACTACCGCTGATTGAACCTTGCGATAATCGGGGCAGGATGGGGCCGTCGTACGAAAATCGTACGACGGTTCGATCATCGGACGAAAAGTTTCGTCCGATAATCGTAAGGAGTATGGGCACCTTAAGGTGTATCGGCACCTTAAGCCTCCCTCACTCTATCCAACACAAAAACAAATTTTGGCTGGAGTTTCACTTCAATGTAATTTAACTGAGTTTCTTAAATTAGAGCTGTAAGTTCTGTAATATGCTGTGCAATCAAGGTAGCTAATTGCATGCATATGCGTTGGAGTGATTACTGCAACAGTCTCTTTAATGACATACAAGAAGTTCCCAATAGATTTTTTGAATCTCAAATCAAAAGACAATTTTTATGAGACCAAATGCTTGATGTTGGACTCCCCATTAGAATGTAGAGTAAAGACAAACAGGGCTAATAACTAGAGGGTGAAGAGTTTGGAGAAGGCAGGAGAAGGGAACAATCTAGGACAACATGGCTGAACTGGAAAGTGAGCTGTAAACCATATCAAGTGTGTTGTAAACCATATCAACCACTTTTATAATGATCTGATTTCTATAAATGAAAAACCAGTTGGACAGACAAGTCCTAAAGTGGTTGATAAGCAAATAATACTATATATATCGATATATAGATAGTTTTTTTTTTTAAGTATTACTCTAAATAGTCCTTTTCAACATTTATATTGAAGAAAAAGTTATCTCGCTGATGTATCATATAATGGTTTAAGTAATTACTTGTCATTCCAATCATCTTTCTCTTTTTATATTTGGTGACAGGGTTGCGATGGTCCGTTTCTTTAACTCTCCCAACATGTTGCACGGGTTCCAGTTGCACACTCGCACTCTGCGTCTCTTCCCTCGGCCTGTAGTGGCTTTCCAGTCCTCTTCCTTCCTCGCATCGCGTCCCAAGGCTACTAACTTTTCTGAGAAGCTGTCCAAAACTCAGGCTGTGGAGTACTTTGGAGAATGGTCTCTGAACCCCACTAATTTTGCCTTTCAGAGAATACACAACAGTAAGTGCCTTTTAAGCTCTTCTGTCAGCTGGTTTTCCATCTGCGTTCCCCTGTTTCAGATACCATCTCTCTCATTGAACCTCTCTTTTCTTTGCAGATATGTTTGACCCAGCTTCAATTGGAGATAAGCCAAAGTGGTATGCCCACCAGCTGCAGCCCATCCATTACCGTGTATATGATGCAAACTCCCAGCTGGCGGAAGCACTCAGTGTCCCTATAGAGAGGGATAGTGACTCAGAGCCCACTGATGACAGGTCTGCTTCATTTTGCCTTCTATTCTTTTGTGATTGTCCTCTTTTGTTACATCCATTTTTGTGGCTTGAAGGGAATGTACTTTATATAGTACTGTGTTTTTTGTTTTTGTTCTTTATTACTAAAACACAGTTGCTATATTTAGTGAAATAAAAAGTATCTTACTTGATATGAATAAAAAGTATGTTGTTCCCAGGCTTCCCCCATTGGATCTTAAGCATAAGCTGTCTTTATGGGTGCTTCAGGTCACCAAAAGTGCACAGATTGCACAGTCCTATATGGCTGTCTCGTCTACATTTGAAGTTAGACGCATTACATTAAAACAAGATTTTTAATACTTTAACACACATTGATACGATAATTTACATTAAAACAGACCAGAACCCAGGGGGCCCATATACAAGGGAGAGCGGAGAGTAATTCGGCAAAGTTACTCCTTACTACAGCCTACATTTTGTGTTCCCATGCATAAAATACAGGCTGAAGTGTCATATGGAGTTCTCTATGCTTAATGTGGTCGAGAGAACTCCTTGACTGGAGGAGAGCTGGTCACATGCCTTTTGATAGGCCACTTGACCAGGCGGTACCCCGACATGTGTTTTTTTGTTTTTGTTTTTTTTAAAGTTGATTTTAATAACGCTCCACTGGCTTTATAAATGTGCCAGATTTTTGTTTTTGTTCTTTTGAAAGCAGCGGTATAACCTCAGTAAAGACATGCTGCTTATTTTTTTATACACCCCCTGAAAAATTATTTCACCCCTGCATCACCTTTGCTGTTCTTTATGCAAAGGGTAAGTGTTATACCTTCCCCACCACCACCACCAAATACTAAGCAGAATCAGATTCCCTCTGGTTAGCATCAGATGATACTTCACTAGATCTTCCAGGTCCTAGATTGGAATCTATGAAAAGCAGACACACTAACTGGCTGCTCTAGCTGACACAGCCAGTCATTGCCTCTGTCTCGCACATATCTCATCCTGGATCAATTACTAGGCCCCAGAAAAGTCAGTGAGAGATACTTTGACAATTTCTCTGCTAAGAAGTATTTGTAATATATAAGTATCTTGTATATAAGTATAATATGTGTCTTATTTTTTATTTGCCACCCAGTGCAATGGTGTTACTGTTTATAGCAAGGAGCTGTATTCTGTCATTTTGATTTTGCATTTTTTTAGTTTTACTAACCATACTGTTTTGCAGTGGCAGCGACAGTGTGGAATACGATGACTCCAGCTCTTCTTATTCTTCACTTGGTGACTTTGTCAGTGAAATGATGAAGTGCGATATCAATGGTGACACACCTAGTGAGTATTCGGATGAGTGAATTTAGTAACAGAAGTGTCTTTGATTATTTACAGCTAACCGATTGTTAGATCTTTTTTTGGGGCAAACATGATGAATATGATCAGTTGCTGTTAGTAACACTACATTATTGCCCCTCTTCATAAAAAATGGATGTAGGCTGTTGGTCATTTATGTGGTTCTTTTTGTCCTCTGTAGATGTGGATCCGCTGACGCATGCAGCCCTGGGAGATGCCAGTGAGGTGGAGTTTGATGACTTTCAGGAGTACTCAGGAGAGGTGGAGGAAACTGCTCCCGACAGCGAGAACTCACCTGACCACAACCAGGCACGTTCAGGCTCCAGCACCACTGCCAGCAGCAGTCCAAGTACTGTCATCCATGGAGCCAACACGGTGAGCTTAGACTGCTTGTTAATAAGCGTCTTTCAATTATTATGCCACTAGACCTTGTTTTTCATAGATTCAGCCTTTTACTGAACTGTTTATATGGTACCTATAGAGATGAGATAGCTGTCATTTATTTTTGACTGGATTGGGCATCAAACTAGAGTCTGGGAAGTCCTCTGACCCCATCAATAGGCCATTTCTGGAGAGGGGACTAGAATCTGAATAGGTTAGAGAGTGGTCTGATTGTTGTTATATGAAAATCATTTTCTAATATTTACTGTCCATAGCTGTAAATCTGATCTTTTCTTTCCTTCTTCCAGTGCAAGGTGGAAGGTTTCATTACCTTTAGTATCTAATCTATCTATCTATCTATCTATCTATCTATCTATCTATCTATCTATCTATCTATCTATCTATCCTGACAGCTGTGTAGTCAATGTCAAGGAAGAAGTGTTGTACTAATTCACTCAATAATTCTGTCTCTTTACTGTTTATTGCAGTATACCATACTTTTAATAAAATACAGCTTTGTGTTGTAAATACTAGCAAACATTAAGTCTTAACCTCTCTCTTTTCAGCAAGAATCTGCTGATTCTGCCGAGCCAGATGAGAAGGTTTTCGGTGCGCTGCAGAATCACCTACCCACCCTGGCACCCACGTTTAACCGCCTAGCGATGGAACGCCGTGAGAGTGAATCATCTGTCGGTGCGGGTGAGACACGAAGGCGTGAATATGACAATCCCTATTTTGAGCCCCAGTATGGATTTCCACCAGAGGAGGAGAATGAGGAGCGTGAAGAAAGTTATACCCCCATGTTTAACCAGACTGTTAATGGCACCCGGTGAGAGCCAATGTCTAGGCCTTCTAATACCGTCCTACACGAGTCATGAATTTTTCTTTTTGATCTGTGAATATCTTACATCTACTCTTACTTTTTAAAATATATCTATATATGTTTCTCTCAATCTCTTTCAAAAGTGATTAAACCTGCTTTTTTAAACTTGCAGAAAATTCATTTTGGATGGCGCACCCTTTAAATGATTTGTGTATCACTCCCTGGAGCCTCATCATAGGATGCATTGTGTACTAGGCAGGAAAGAGCTTTCTTGCCAGGCTCATCAGCCCTGTATCCACATAAAAGAACACCATGATTCAAGAGTTTCTATTGCAGTGTATTCTGGGTGTTTTGCAATCATAATCTTTCAGACTTTTTGTGAATCTGATTACACAGGATTCTTTTTCATTTTGCTTCATTTACTGACTACTCTGTGTTTACTCTGTTAGATCTCAGAAGCCTTTGCTTCGTCCTAATAGCCTGAAGCTGGCCAGCGATTCTGATGCAGAAACAGATTCTCGGGGGAGCTCCCCCACCTCAACTGTTTCCAACAATAGCAGCAATAACGAGGGCTTTGGTGGCATCATGTCCTTTGCCAGTAAGTTTTCTGCTGCTGCTGCTTGTACCTGGCTTCTGTGTTTTACTCTGGAAGATCTAGAAAAACATCTAATGCAGATTATCAAATTGTTCCTTTTTCTCACTTTTTTATCTGTATTTATTCCCATAAATAATAAGATAGAAATTCTACCTGCAAAAAAACAAAATCTTCGAGGTGTAATGTTACCTCAAAAAGCCTGAAGATATGGCACGATGTTCGGCTGCTCTGACATATGCCTACTAATAGTGGGGAAGCTTCACCGCCCCATTCTGAATATTCCTATTGGCCAGTGAGGCAGCACATCTTAGTAATAGGCCAATAGGAATGTGAGGGGGACAGGACCTACCTTTTGATGGTCAGGACAAACTGCCATTCAGTCATATTTGCAGGGTTCACCTACTGCCTAATGTTTGGTTTTCCCTTTGAGATACATAAGGCACAGCGTATCCCTGCATTGCTCCAGGCAACCCCTTTTCCTTGTGTTTTATAATCTGTTGATCATGGGACATGCCAGCCTGTGAAATTGGAACACCATCCTTACCTGACTGTCACTTACAGAAAGCATGATTTTAAAAGAAATGCCAATGCTCAGATGTTTCTCATTGTGCAGACTTACATGATCAAGTAGATTCTTTTTTTTACAAAACTGTGTTTCATGTTAATAACAATAAAGTAACAATCATCCACATCAATGGCAGTGTCTATGATGGGGAAAAAGAATACAACAAAGTAATACACAATAACACAAATGCATAACATAAAATATCAAAGAGGGGAAACGTATCCCCAATAATACAGAATATGATAGTGATTTTATTGCTTTTAACATGTTATCTAAATAAATATTCTGTACCTGGATACGATTTAATTTGTTGTGATTTGGGTGCCTTAAAAGTCTGTCTTTGTTTTGTTGGTGGAATGTTTGAGTCTAGTAGAATATAAATACCCTTAGTTCAAATGATATACCTGAATAAGACTGTCATTGGTGATACATGAACTGAAAAATTAGCTGGACCTCATTGTTATTATGTTCAAAGTGTGTACAAGTTCTGGTCCTTTGTTTAACACCTCAATTGGGTCCATTGTATGAACAGAAGTTATTCTGATTCCAATTGTTGTATTAGCGATGTATCCCTTGCTGAGACCTCCTATGCCTGGCCTGTATAAGCAGATACAATCACTGCGGACAATCCTTATCAGATAGCTGAACTCACTAAATACCTTTTCATCCACGAAGGTGCTTTATTTGAATGCAGCAGGGTTACTGCAGATGAATGAACAGATGGTATTTGAAGGTCGGAGATAGTAATGTTTCCAAGCATGCAATGCAGATTAACATGGGGTCATGTTACTGTCGGCCATGAAACTAGGAAATTACTGTCCTCATAAAGAATGGGAAAATACATCATCGATGGGAGGGAACACTGAAAACATAGTGCAGTACCCAGAATAACCACAAGATGTCAGTATATGAATTAGCCATACAATATCAATGAGCAAATGGCTTAAGGAAAATTAAACTATATAAATTCTCATTTCACAATAATGTGAATTTTAACTATGACTATGTATTGTCATATCCTATAAAACTATTGTGACAGCGCAGAAGTGTTGCTATTCTGTGGGTTGAGATAATATCTAGTGCTGTATAAAGGAAAGTATATCTATAGGCAGTGGTGTCCCTAGCTTTTTTGCCATGGTGGTAGTGGTGCACGAAGTCAGAGCAGCGGGAGGTGATTAGAGGAGACAGTGCCACCAGACACAAGAATGATGCCGTCCTCTGCAGGCTTTGCATCTCCCCACCCAGCTCTTAGCAACCTGGGATGCCCTGGCCGGTGTCCAGTATTTAATAAAATGAGATTTTAGTATGAATACAGTCATTGCCTAGTCATAATCACAGTCTACTTTTTTTCCCCCCAGGTAATCTGTATAAAAGTCATAGTAGTAACTTCAGTCTGTCAAGCTTGACGCTTCCGAACAAGAGTGGCCGAGATAAGGCGACCCCATTTCCGAACTTTAAAGGTAAGAGTGCTTTTAGAATAGGAGATGCTTAAGGAGGTAGTCTGTATCTCAGTTTATAAGGTAAGTAATATAAAACCTAGGGTCAGGGAACGGAAAGGCAGGACAGCTTTCTTCAGTAGGGAAGGTAAGTGTTCTCATCTAGAAATGTGGATGTTGGAATGAGATGTAAGTGTAGTGTTTGGGGTTCTCATGTTTACACTATTCATTCCATTACGCCATTTATCTCTCCCTGGTTTTCTTGTAGACTTGCAGTTTGCTTACTTGTGTGTAGTCAAGTGTGATCACTGTTTTTTTTGCCACTTTTTTTATTTTATTTTTACTGCTGCATGCTCCGTCCACTTGGGGTCAAAGACCAACAGAAAGTGGCAGGGGAATTAGGAAAAGGTTGGTATTGATTCTGTGTGATCTTGAGATTTCAGATGGCGTCTAAGATCACCTCCACTTGTGTGCAACATACTGTGCTTGTTTTATCATATGTAGGTGTGCTGTTGTGTGAAGTTTGCTTGGATCGAAATACACAAGTCCCCATACCTGATTTCTGTGTGTGGCTTTGTTGTCTCTGCCCATTGCGCAGCTGTTCTCACAGATTGATGTATAGTTATATCTTATAGAGCGTGAAATAAAAAGCCACCTGCCATGAACTGGAGTTTTCTATTAAAGCAATATTGTAAGGCAAGTTGCCCCCATTTCACATCCTGGGTACCTTGAGCTGCGATTTTTAGAATTCACCTGCAGCATAACCTGCTGGTATTGAAGTGGGGCTGTATAAAGACGGTGGTATCCTATAGGGCTTATTTATAAAACTGGAGGAAAAGTAATCCACAAAAATAATGAACATTCTCAAAATATTACACAAAACCTTATTATTCTGTATGGTGTTAGTTTTAGCTGTATACAGACACATTAAGTTGGCTTTGGTTTGATTTGTATAGTCTGGGACTTGTTGTGGTGCTTTACAAACACACACAGGTATTGCAGGTACAGGGTTTCCATTGGCCATCTCATTTGCCATTCCATTACTTGGGTTCGTGGGAGACACCTGCCCCCTTCGTTTCACCTTGGAGATGAGGTTCAAACAGTAAGTGTCCAGAACTAGTCAAATATATTGAGATGTCCAAGTGGGATGTAAACTATATGGCCAAAAGTTTTTGGACAACAGAATATCACCATTTATAAGCTTGTCGGATATTCCATCCCAAATCCAGTTGCTCAAAATAAAGTTTTTAGCCATCAATCTTCACTGACAAACATTAGTATAAAATACATTTTGGACAATTCTACATTTCCAACCTTAACAGTTTGGGGAAGGCCCTGTTCTGTTCCAGCATGACTGTGCAGAAAGCCAGCTACATAAAAACGTAGTTTGGGGTGGAGGAACTTATTTGGCCTGTATAGTTCCCTGACCTCAACATTATGCTCGCCCAAATGCTCCCGATCCCTATCCCAATACCGGAACTTGCGGTCTCGGGAAGCTGGGCGAGTCATTACACGCTGCCCGGCTTCCTGATAGGCCGGTAACTGGCTCCATGCTCCCTTGTCACCAGGGAGCAGGGAGCTGGCTTCCCGGCCTATCAGGAAGCCGGCGGGCGGGTAATGACTCGGTGATGAGGTAGCATGGTGGCAGCTTCCCAGCTAATCAGGAAGCCGGGCGCCGTGTAATGACTTGTCGCCCGGCTTCCTGATTGGCCAGCTTCGCAACCAATCCGGAAGCCAAGCGGCTAGTCATTACCGGCCTTTCCGGATTGCTGATTGCCCAGAATGCCAGCTCTGTGCTTCCTGGTCACCTGGCGATGAGGAAGCATGGAGACTGCTTCCTGCGTAATCGGGAAGCCGGGCCGCGAGTCATTACAAGGTGCCTGACTTCCTTAATGGGATTTCCGGTATCGGTATTGGCAAGTACCGAAAAAAAAATATCTGTACGTGATACCTAGAAAACGGTAAAAACTGAACACCTTTGGGATGAATTGGCATGCCAGTGGCAAGCCAGGTCTTCTTGTCCAGCATCAGTACCTGACCTCATAAATCCCACAAACTCTCTTTCAGCTGAATGGGCACAATGTCCCATTATTCCCACAAAAACACTCAAAAATCTTGTGGAAAGCGTTCCTAGATGAGTGGAGGTCATTATGGCTGTAAAAGGAGGCCAGCATATTTAATGCCCATGGTTGTGAAATGGGTTGTCCGACAAGCTCATATAGGTGTTTGGTGAGGTCTCCACAAACTTGTGGCCATATGGTGTACAATAGATCAGGGGTAGACAAGTTCAGGTGGAATTCAGGCACAATGTTTTCCAGGTTAGGAGCTACGCAGGAAGCATTTGTGGAGTGAGCTTGTACTGCCTTGTAATACACTAGTTGTTATTTTTTAAGACAATGCCTGAAGAATTTATTGTAGGTGGCCTACAACCTGTCTTGTGGGATTTCCCAGCCCTGTGATTTGTAGTGATAAAATGGAGGACATGTAAGATTCAGTAACTCGAGTATTGGAATATGGAATAGGTTTAACAGTTAGGAAGGGGCTTGCATTGATGTGTCTAGTGCATCCTCATGTTGTTGCTGTCTATCCTGTAGTTTTCTCTGCAGAGCCATCCATTTTGTGTTAGAAAAAAAAATCCCTCTAGGAAATGAGTCTATTAGGGTTTCAGCTGTTTGATTTGATTGGTTGCCACTAACCTTGCATTTTTCGTCCCAGTATTTGGGCTAAATACTATAATGGAGATAATTGCAGACTCCGGTCCCGCCCCTGCAGAAGGTGGGTGCCTGTAGCATGAGTTCTGCATGCTGATCCACTCCCAGCATCCTCTCCTTCATCCTACCATATTGCGCTTCTTGTTGGTCACCTTCTCTCACACACAGTGCCTTGTGCTCGTCACTTGTGGTGGTTGTTCTATAGTTTCTGGTCATGTGACCGCATTATCAGGCGTCCATGTTTCTTACAGGCCATGGGTAGCCGGGATAATCCTCCTCCCATGTTCTTTCTACCTGTTTTGCTCTTACTTTTAATATTTCGGTGCTGAGCGGTGAATTTAAAACTGGGCAGAACTCAGCGGGGCTCACGGATCAAAGTGTGTGAAGGAAGAACTGTCTGTGTAGCTCATATTATCCCGAAGCTCTCTTTTAATTCTGACAGTACGGAAGAGAAAACACAAATCCAAACAGCTGTAGTGTGTGTACTTACCAGCCGTATAACTTTTGGGAGTAAGAAGAGAATACTTCTTTCTTCACCACAATGCATCAGTATCATGATGGTGTTCGTCAGAGTTGTATAAAGTGGGAGTTATTAGCCAGTTAATCCTTCCTTGCTGGGCATACGCCAATGAGTGTAGCTGCTGAGGCCTGCCGTCAGTTTGACAGCTGAGTTCTCTGATCCCTATAGCTGATGTCAGCACTTTTTTCCCACACTGGTCAGTTGTAACCGGTATCTTAGCTGTGCTTGTTAAAATGTAAGCAAAAAATACATTTATATTGTAAAGCGCTGCGCAAACTGTTGGCGCTATATAAATCCTGTACAATAATAATAATTGTAGTTAGCTCTGGCTTTCTGGAGCAGCTAATTATAACGTATCTATGAAGCAAACCTAAAAGCAGAAAAAACGTTTTTTGCTTAATAAGGTTTTCCTATTTATCTCCTGGGTACCCCATCTTAAAGCAGAACTCCGGTCAACATTTTTATTAACCGCCACACTGCAAGAGTTAAGTGCTCGTTTGTGTCTAGGGCATCGGTTCTCAACCTGTGGGTCGCGACCCAAAAGTCCAGTGCCTTACTAAGTCCTGAGTCCAGTGCTCTGTTGGGGGTCACCACTACTTGGCAGATGTTACCAAGGGGTCCCGGCCCTAGAAAGGTTGAGAACCACTGGTCTAGGGGCTAAAATAAAGTTATACTTACCCAAATCTGGGAGCCAGCCGGCTTTCACAGCACTCCCTTCAGCTTCCCTCCTCCTACGCTGTCCCAGTTTATTTGATGTGATGACTCGAGAATCCTTAGACCGCTGCAGAGAGGGGGAGCATGGCTGGAAGCATCGGTCTAAGAGCTGGCTGGCTCCAAGGATTAGCGCAGTATAACTTTTTTTTTTTTAAATTTGAGCCCCTAGGCAGAAACAAGCAGTTAACCCTTGCAGTGCGGGGTATCCCCACTGCAAGGGTTAATAAAAATGTTGTCTGGAGTTGATCCTAATGGCGTCCATTTAGGTTCGCACAAAAATAATTAAAGAACAGAGTGCCGTTTTGGTCGACCTGAACGGGACGTATCTAAAATATTTGGATGCAAGAGGACATATGTGCTTACATCTGACCCCCCGTAGACCTAACATAGGTCCATACGACAAGTTTTTTTTCCATCCATGGAAAGATGAATGGACTCGGATGTCACAAAAGTGACATCTATTCTGTACTTCTCCGATTAGCGGGGCATCTGTGCACTGATCCCCTTCTGGTTGGAACAGACGGCGACCCATGTGAAAGGGCCTTTTTTTGTAACATATTTCCTGTCCTAGTGTAACATTGTTCTAACAGTAACATGTGGAGAAACTTTGTTACCCTAGGAAAGGAAGTTTTTTTTAGGCTTTCAGAAAACTTCCTTTCTCTTCATCACATGTTGGAGAGGTGCTCTGTTCTCCACATAGGAAGTTGGGAACAATGCTGTTAGCAGTGGCAGAGAGCATAGGGAGTCATCAGCTTACAAGATTTTAGTAAGGATCAACAGGTATTTTGTGCACTTATGGAACAAATCTAACAAAACCCTTTTCTCTGTTCTTGTGCTCAGTATGGCTGCAGTACAGCTACACTGAGGAAAGTAAGGGTGAATATCACCATGGGTAAAGCTTACCGCGAATCTGAAAGGGCATTAAAAGTTCTACTTGGAGAGCAGCAAGTCTTGGCCTTGGCTTAGTCCTTTTATGACAACACACAGCTAAAGGTGCAAGCAAACTAGGTAGTGAGTGCATCAGTTGACACACACACACACACACACCTTTTATGTACAAGGGATACTGTGTGCTCATGGAAAGGAGATTTTTAAATTCACCTCTCAGCTCTTTTCTTTTACTCTACCTTTCACTGTCATTCTTTCTTTCTTGATTTTTGTCACCCAGATTTTATATTGTTGAATGTTTTTTGTAAATTCCTGTCTCTGTTTCTTCCCTTGCAGCCAGCACCAGGCGGGCTTTGGTCGACCAGAAATCTTCCGTTATAAAACACAGCCCTACAGTAAAGAGGGAATCTCCTTCCCCACAGGGCAGAGCTAACAATTCCAGGTAAGGCTGTATTTACTTTTATAGAAAACTGTATTCAGTACATAAAATAATAATATAGACTAATGTATAAAAGTGGTAACATTGGCAAGAGCAAATATGCAGAAGAGTACTGACAGTGGCTGACAACATTTAGGTAGATATTGGGAAACTATAATAGTTTTTGCCAATTTGTAGTATTTTATGTAAAAGTGGACAATTTTATAAAGCGATATGAGATGACAGTCTCTTTATAAGTCAATTTTCAGCTAGATGGGGGGGGACACTGTTATTGTGTGGGGCGCTGCCTGCTGTTGGGTGATAAAACAGCAACCAGAGGTTGAAAAAATTGTCACTACAGTCCGCATTCATGTTTTTTGTTGTATCACAGCAAGCTTTGTTGAAGGCAGACAAGGCCAATTAGACAGACCTCTCCTTCTATCGCTTCCATCTACTCTGTTCTTTGTGGTAGGGCTGTGTAAATCTCACAGCTGTATGGACAAAAATACACATCATTTGGCATCCCGATGCTGGCGACGTACACTGTACGTCGTCAGTCACGAAGGGGTTAAAGCATATCTAAAGCCAAACCTTTTTTTATTTTTGGAATGATTAGGGAATTGTTAAAACCTTTTGGGGCTTTTTTTATGTTCTGTTGGGGTGATTTTCCTTTACTTCCTTTCCTGGAGACTCACCAGGAACTTTACATTTTCATGTATCTAAAAGACTCTGATCATTGGGAGGTTAACGTCTGGGTCAGCTGAGGCAAAATAGAAATATATTTTTTGAAAGAGAGGTATGCCACATCTCCTTCCATTGAGGGTTGTGCACAGCTAGAAGGTTGAGGTCTGTAAGCAGAATGGTTTTTTAGTAATCTAGTTTTCGTAAGACCTGCCACGTACTTGATGAATACAATTTGGAAAGTGTCTCAGATGTAATCTTGTACAATTCTAAACGTAATCATTTTTTTAATAGACCTTTCCCTCCGAGATGTACAGCGTTGAGACAATATTATTTGTGTTGAGTGTCTGACTGAGCTCTCTCTCTTTTATTTTTTTGTTAACCTTGCAGTGAGAACCAGCAGTTTCTGAAGGAGGTGGCAATGAGTGTCCTCGAGGGACAAGGAGTAGGCTGGCTGAACATGAAAAAAGTGCGCCGCTTACTGGAAAGCGAACAGCTGCGCGTCTTCGTCCTGAGCAAACTGAACAGGTGCATGCAGACAGAAGAGGATGCTCGCAATGATGTCATCCAGGAAGTGGTGAGTTCTCCACCACCTTTCTTTATTTACCTGTGGATTTCAAACTTTCATCATGTAGAAATCCATCTGGTAGAAATTACATAGTACAACATGTGGGGTAAGAAAATGGAATACTGTTATGTACAGACCTTAATGCCTAACTGAACTTTCAATTTAAATCAGCTGAATACATTCCAGGTCTACTACAGCCTTAGTAGAAAAGCCTGTCCCCTGCCAAAATGCTGCAGAGAAGGACCCCTGCTCTCTGTGGGGAAGCAGTGTTCTCTATGCAGAAGTCTAATACACATCCTGCTCAGTCAGAGTTCTCCAAACAGCAAAACGCATAAGCTTTGCTGTTTGCAGAGATGTAGGTTTGCGTTTCACCTTATACATGGTCTGTGGAGTATAATTTCAGTGTCAGAAGGTTAAAGCTCCCCACACTTTACAGTCTGGTTCTACAATCCTATTTTAGATTTTTTTTCAACTTCAACAGCTCTGTAGCATGAGCACCTATCAGAAGGGATTTAAATAGTTTGGACCACTTGGGTAGTCCCTGACTCTGCTTGGTTAAAGGATTCTAAAACCAGCTTTAACGGGTATTATGGATGAACCGTTACTGTTTTTTTTAATATTGAGTAAGAGTATTGATTTTTATTTTCGGTACTCGCCGCGAGCATGGAGCTGGCTTCCCGGCCAATCAGGAAGTTGGGCCGTGTGTCATTACCTGCCACCCGGCTTCCTGATTGGCCGGGAAGCCTGCTCCACGCTGTTTGACTGGCTCGATTCAGATTAGTTGGGAAGCTGGCTTCCCGGCCAATCAGCCTGGACCCGCGGCACTGCCAGTCAGAGGAAATGTCCCTCTGACTGAAAGTTCCAATATGGGGGGGGGTCCGTATTGGAGCATTTGGGCGAGTATGAGTAGTTGCCCAAATACTCGGTATTGGCCCCGATACTAGTATCGGTGCATCCCTAATGGGCATGGCTAGCTTTTCAAAGGTAAGATGCCTTTCAGTAGCCAATTCATTTCTCTTTGTTACCCTGTAGGAAATCAGCAGGAAAGTATATAAGGGCATGCTAGATATGCTGAAGTGTACGGTGTCCAGCCTGGAACAATCTTATGCCAACGCAGGGCTGGGGGGCATGGCCAGTGTCTTCAGCCTATTGGAAATTGCTCACACACATTATTACAACAAAGGTATGTCCCGCTGATTGTACTGATTAGCAGAGTGGTGTGTTCTTGTGTAGTTTTGTTATTGGAGGTGCTTCTTGTTATCTAGACTGTTCTGTTGACGCTTGTCTACAATGTACTAAAATAACTCTCACTTTTTTCCCCTTTGCTGTTCCTCTTCTGAATCTGTACCTTCACATCGTTTCTTCTTGCCTTTTATATTTCTACCTCACTGTCCCTCAATCTCCTCCTCCTTTCTTGTATCTTCTCTCCGCTCCTCTCTTTAAGAAGCTGAGAAAAGGAAGCACAGTCCTTCTGTCGATGGCACTGTGACGCCCGTGTCTAGGGATTCTGTCACCATTCAGCGAGGAGAACCTAGACCTACCCCCCAGCTGCCCCCCCAGCAGCTCCTTTCCCGCCCATCGGGCTCCGCAGGCCGGGGGGCACGAGAGTTTGATACACGGAGTCTGAAGGAAGAGAATTTTGTGGCCTCCATTGGTGTGTATAGAGCAGAAGAAAAGGATACATGAGGCAAAGCTCTCAGGGTCTCACCACATCTCTCACCTCTGGCATCACTGCTCGCTCCTTGCAGCACCCCATTACTGTCCTCTGTTTTCAACTCATCATCACACTGTCCTTCGAGGTTCCTTTTTGTCTGTCCTATAACTGTATTTTAATCCACCTTTATGGTAACTAGACAGCCTATGCTGAGTCCTAATAGTATAGAAACAACCCTCAACTGTCAGATGGAGAACAAGTGGCAGCTAGATGAAAAGTGCAAGGGCCACACTAAGAGAAATGGTGGCAACAATTGGATACAGTTAGAGACCACCAGGCTGTAGTATGTGGGGATGAGGTGAAAGTCTTAACGCTTTGTCCTTTTTCAAGACCAATTGTCCTCCTCCAAGTGCTGCACCCCCTACATCTGCATTTGCATCAGTAAGTAGATTTTACAGTTACAATCTGGGAAATCGCGCACAGTTGCTGCTGCATGAACCTGGATAAGGGTGTAATGGCCTTGGGATCTCAAAGCAAACTTGTCGCCTCTTAAAGACTAGATCTGCTTAACTGAGGCACCTGTGACCCTGTAGGCCCGATTTTGTATATTCAACCTTGATGTCTGACCAAGATGGCATTAATCCACCCTTGTTTGCCTCACCTTGCAACAGCATACTCTGTTTAGGACAGGGCATAGTAGCTACTTGGGTGAATGTTAAAGCCCTCTATATAGCCTGAACATGGAATACAGATGCTTAAATGGGAATTGGGGATTGCTAGGAAGTTTAAAACTGATATTTGTAGACACCACATAAAGCCTGTACGGTATTGTTAGCATAGACTGTTTTAAGTTGTTAAGAACCTGACAAAACCAATTATAATAATCAATATAAATTGACCAACAGTCCAGAAGACTCAGAGATTAGACTTAAAGTGACACTAAATTTAGGAGTTAAATCATAAAAATAAATTCAAGCACCTTAACTATTAACAAAAATGTATCCTTTTTGTGCACCACTCGGCTGTAGATCCTCAAATCATTTCTGAATTGGTGCTGACACTGTTCTTCCTTCTGGAGGAGGCGTACTTTTGTTCCCCATGGTCCCTGTGTGTGTTGTAATGTAGTCACCGCTCCAAGCTTGCTCCTGTGATGGACTACAATCTCACATTTAGTTTATTTGTGTTGAAGTTTTAGTCCATCACAGGAGTGGTGAGCTTGCAGCGGTGACTACTTTGCAACACACACAGGGACCATGGGGAACGAAAGTAGCCCCCCTCCAGAAGAAAGGACAGTGTCAGCACCAATTCAGAGATATGAGGACCTACAACTAATTGATTTTCAAATAAGGTACATTTTTGTTAATCGTTAGGGAATTTTAACACATTTTTTAGATTTAACTCCTGAGTTTGTCACTTTAAATGTCTGCTCCTCCACATATTCTTTAGTTTAAAATGTATTTAGCCTGGAGTTTTCCCGATTGCTCTTTCTATATATTTTCTAATAATGATCCTTGAACTTAGCAGCAGCAAGTTGGTGCAACCAGTTCTCCTGTGCTATAACCAACACAGATAGGTATGCTTTTATTGTGATGGTAAGGAGCTATGGGCAAATGTATGGGGGCTGCAGCAAATAGATGAAACAAGGAATCAGGCTAGAGCTCCGAGTTGGCTCTAGGTTTAAAAATTCAGCCTTGTCATTACTGTAGGAAAGGTTAGGTGCATTGGAGAAGGGTCATTGTAGTCTGAGCTATTCCTGTTAAAAAGTGTGCTGAAGGTGCTATCAGAATTAGAGCAAAGACATGTACCAGCTCACTTTCCGTAGCATATAGAATTTCTTGTAGGTAGACAGACGGTATGTGCACATACAAGAGTAGTCACCCTTCCGGTATAGTTGTATAAATAGCACTTTATTGGAATAGGTGCAGTTTGAATGGCCTTATGCCAATGTTGGCATTGTAACGAATTATGCCAGTGTTTGTTCTAATTATATATATAATGTGTATATATAGGTATATATATATATGTATAGGTGTGTTTTGTGTCTGTGGAAACTACTGTTGGAATATTATGTTGTCCTACATGTTCTGTGAGTTTTGCAGCTGTTGAATATTCTTTTTTTGGGCGAGAAGCCTAATTACCTAAGCATTTGGAAGTCCAGATGGGAATATTTATTTCCAGTTATTGGCTCCACATAACTAGAAAGATGCAGGTTGCTGTTCTCCATCTCATTAGAATGTAATGAGGAATGCTGGCCATGGTTTATCTGTTGTATATTGGGTAGGTAGTTTACTTGGGGTATGCTTACTTATGTATTCCTATGTATATATACTTTTACGTATATATGCATATATAAATGTATATTTATGTATACTATTTGCACATACATAAATATAATGTGTCGGCTACTAATTGTGCCCTTTCTCTCTAACACTTTCTTGCCATCACCCTTGTGCTCATGTAGTGACTTCTTGTGTATACGTGCACCTCCTCCCCTTTCTATAGTGATGTGGTGGGTGAGGAGATCTCTGTGTCCATTTATAGCCTGTCTGATCCACATCTGACTCTCTCTCTGTCTTTCTCTCCTGCTTGCAATGCATCTTGGGTAGAGTTGTGGAACAAGCATCGGGAAGTGAAAAAGCAAAAAGCTATGGATAAACAGAGTAAGAATCTAGAGAAACCCCCCAAACCCTTCCCAGATCTGCCAGCAGGGTCGCCCTAGAGTGTTTAGCCTCAGGGCATGCCCATGTATCATGTCATTAATTCATCTTCTAGGAAATTTGCAGAAAGTTCTTTTTAGACAATTGCACAGGCCAGCCTTTTCAAACCATTAGTTTCCAGTTGTTAGCACCAACCTTTCTCCCAAACGTGTGACTAAATCCTTAAAGGTGATTCAAGTTGCACACTTGAAGTCGATTATTCAGTGAGTAGACAGAATCTTGGAAATGCTGTTAGGGATACGTTTAATACACAATAGCTGTTCACAAGCAAGTTTAACATTCATTTAACTTTCCTATGTCTTTTCTTTCCTTGTGCTTTGAGACTTATAACAGGCCGACCTCAGTGCAAACAAGGTTTTGTTTACACTCAGCCTGTCTGCACTTCATAGTTTGGTGAGGTACATACTTGCAGTCCAAGAACGCATCAAGGATCCCTATAGATGTGAATTATTCTTTTCACAGCTGACTTCCTGGAATTACAAGGGAAAGGCAGGGTTCAGCTAAACACTAGGTATTCACTGTGAGGGTACTGTTAATGCTACAGCATGCAAAGACAATTTTAGACCAGTGGTTTTCAACCCGTGTAACCTCAGGACCCACGTTTGTCCTTGGTCATTAAGTTGCGACCCAAGTCGCACTGCAATGCACAACATTGCAGTACTGTGCGTTTCGGTGCCGGCGATTGAACCTGTGGGCAGGAGGTTCGTTTGGGGTGTCATTCAAATGAATGGCAACGCAACCCACCTCTCACACCAGAGTGCGTAGTAGGTGCGATTGCATGATGTAGTGTGTCAATCGCACAGGACTGTTTGATTAACGCACTGTACTAGTGTGAACGGGCCCTCAAAAACACTGACAGACACACATCACAAACACAATCTCACACACACACACTCAAAAAAAACATTATTTTTTTCTTTTTCTTTAGATTCCCCCTGTCTCCCTACCTTACGAGAACTGAAGTGGATCCTCAGCCTGGGATCCAGTGTGGGCTGCTGTGCTGTGATGGAACTCCATCCATATGTGCATTGCTTGTACAATCCCTTTGCGCACCCTGTAGAGGTGCAGGCAGCCAGAATGTGACATCACTCCGGTCCAGGCACCTCTACAGGACATGCGAGGAAGCTGTAAGCAAAACATGTATGGATGGAGCTCCCTCGCAGCCATAGCTCCATCTTCAGCTGACACTTGGCACCGAGCAGCATATGAATGGCTGCTTGGCGCAAGAACTGGCAGTGCTGCGTTAGGGGGAAGCTGAGAAGCCTCTCACATAGGAGAGTGGAAGGCATGCAGCGACCCACTGAACACGGGGTCACGATCCACTTTTGGATCACGACCCACCGTACACGGGGTCACGACCCACTTTTGGGTCACGACCCACCAGTTGAGAACTAAGGATTTAGACAATTCCAACTCAGCTCGGTTTGGGGAAGGTCCTTTTCTGCTTCCGCATGACTGGGCCCCTCTGCACAAAGTCAGGTCATCAAGACATGGTTTGATAAGCTTTGGTTATAAGATCTTCAGTAGCCTGCAAAAAGCCCTGAGCTCATCCCTATTGAACACATTTGGGATGACTTGGAATGCCAATTATGAGCCAGGTCTTCCCTTTCTTTCTCAAAAATGCTCTTTTGGCTGAATGGGCGGACATTCCCACGGACTCTAAATCTTGAGGAAAGCCTTCCCAGAAGAGTGGAAATGGGAGCGGCAACGCAAACACTAAAATGTTTCATGTGCCCAGATTCCGCTCATTTGCGGCTATTACCATAGCCACAAATGTGCTGAATCCATCAAAAAATCGCACCTGGACTACTTTGCAGAGTTCATACCAAGATATGTCCCATCGCACTCCTGACCGGAAACAAACCCATCAGTCGGGTGGGTGCCGCAGTGACCACAGATGCCTCCGCCAGTAACATGAAATCGATGAATAGTCACTCGCTTTCCAATTGCATACCAAGCCAATTCCTTTAATGACTATAGTAGTGTCCCAATCATAGCGACGTTTCGGAACCAAGCGCTTCCTTCTTCAGGCAAACATAAAGTGACTTCTTCATATTTTCTAATAATGATCCTTGGAGTGTAAGTGACTATTCATCGATTTCATGGACTATTTTGCAGGCCACATGGTTTCGTACCACGCGTCCGCCGCAAAATACTGAACAATGCAAATTAAAATGCATTATTTTTTATGTTTTAGAGCAGCTCTGCGCATATTCAGACAGCTGCTCCTGTGTGAATGGAGCCTAAATGCCCATGGTTTTGGAATGTAATGTCGAACTAGGTCATATAGGTGTGGTGACAGGGTATCCACATATTTTTAGTCCTATAGTTTAGTTTATGCCCTCCCTGGCCTCTTCTGGGAGCCCAGGTAACCAAGCAGGCTTGTGGAATAAATGCCTTTCTTGTTGTCGTCTGGCGTGGTTTGTGGGCATTTTGCTATATACAATGTTTAGTGCAAAGTGCAGACAGCTTGAGAGTAAACGCTGCAATTTTTACATCAACCTGAACCTGTGATGGCTGCTCTAAGAGAAGCACAACGATAGTAAAGGCAACTTTGCCAAGCTTCTTGACGTTCCTGGATATGTTAAAACAGCTAATGCAGTTGGCAAGCATAAATTCCTTATTAGACAGCAGTAGCTCAAATTTCACACAGTGCGTGCACTGCACAAAGACAAGGGAATGTTTGTATAGAAAAGTCTTGGGTAAGATCCCAATATATGAAGCCCTGAGGAGAAATGATAGAAATACGTTTTAAGTAGTTTGCCTTGTGGATATAATAATAATAATTTAATCGATCAAAAAGATTAACGATTAATCGAGAAATTAATCGTTAATTTGCACAGCCCTAATAAAAATAGTTTGAACAGAAACTGTAGTGATAGGCCACATTGGGTATCTAATAATAGTGGTGACACCTGAGATTTCCTCCTATTTTATTTTTTGGACAGCTTTGTAATTTCTGGATTCCTCTCTGTTAAAAAATGGGTAACTATAGTTACTATAAAGCCAAAGTAACTTGTGCTGACTCAACAACGACAGGGGGCCAAGCTGTGTGATCTAAAAATTGCTGCTAGTTTGTCTTACTGCAGAATTTTCAGGTGTATTCTGAAAGGGGAATGCGGTTTTACTTTTGGCACTTATCCACTTTATTTGAAAAAAGTGGAAAATCTCTTTAGGCTGGAGGTCATACGCAACTGCGCCATTGCTTTTGTAACCTGGACCTGTCTTTCAGAGTTGGCGCTGTGTTATATTCCTCATCAAACGTCACCTGGCAAGTAACGAGCACTCTTTGATCTTGTCTGAGTTGAAGCAAACCTTTTCTTAGAGACATATGGGCTCTACCATTATCAGTCCCCTTCTGAAAATGTTAGTTGTCTTGCTAATACACTGACCAGCTCTGTTCAGTAAGACTTGATACCAGGAACATGTATGCATATAGATAACCCTGTTTGCATGCTTGTTTCAGGTAAGTGACCCAAAGTGTTGAAACAATAGGGAAACTAGCATTTGCTGAAGGAGAAGTAGCAATGTAGGAAAGGTTTTCTACAACAATATGATGGGTTGAGGGGCACCTGTTGTGCACCCCCCAGTTTTTCAATTGAAAACCCTTTTCCATGGGTTAGATATTAGTAAATAAATAGGCCCTAATAGTGAAAATCTTAGTGATCTAATTAGGTTTGCTGTCATTTCCATCAATGATTCAGTCTATTAATTATAGCATACCGTATCATTAAAGGCCAGCTTTACATTTGCAGTTTATTGGCAAGTTGAATCAGATGGTGGCTTTGTTTTTTCAGGGGGTTTTAGAAGCTATTTCCTACCACAGTTTCTATAGTTGCTCAGCTGCCATAGCGTTTAAAAGAAAGTGCCCTTCATTATGGCCATGTAGAATTGTTAGAGCAAGAGACTACTGAGGGAAAATCTCATCATTGGAGCCACTTAGAGATAAAAGGCTAAGCTGGTTATTCAGCCCAGAAATTCCCATTCAAGGATTTGTGTAGCGTTGGTTCTGAATAAGATTGGATGACTGTTAGTACTTATAGGGAGTGTTCTAACCCTATGTTTATAAAATTCGAGGACCCCTGGTCTACAATCAACAAAAATTAGGAAATGATCTGAAGAGTCATTATGACCTTGTAGAATGGTTAGAGAAACAGACTACTGAGTGAAAATCTCATCATTGGAGTCTCTTACAGATAAAAGGCTAAGCAGGTTAATAAGTTCACAAATTCCCATCCGAGACATTGGCGTGATGTTGGTTCTGAAAAAAACTGGATGACTGCTAGTACCTATAGGAAGCTCATTTTGTTCCTTGGAAAGAATAGATTGCATCCTTCTAGATAAGCTGGCAGATTTTCTATTGGTGAATGGTTTGTCGGGGTTTCTTGTCTTAAGTTAGTAACTGTAGTGGTGAACTCACTCCTCCCCTCTCCTTCCTCCTTCCATCTTTCTTAGCTAACGCTTTTTAATCATGCCCTCACTCCTCTCTCATGTCACTCAGTACCATATAAGCAGGGTGGGCTCCGTTTACTAACGTCTTCACTTCTTCAGCCAACCCGACGCTGAACTTACCCACGAGACCCTGCAGCAGTAAAACCCTCCCGGCCTGTAGCCACTCTCATTTACATCTATGACAGGGTGGGGTTTTTCTGCTCCTAAAAGAACCAAATGTATTCAGTTCACTAATGTCTGCTAGATACGATTGACTTTTCATTACATTGGCGAAGTGGCCCTTAAGAATTTGGATGCACATTTAATCAAAGCCACCTGCGGTGAGCAATGAGGCTTACAAAGTATTCCATCTGAGGAGGAGTGATATGCACTAACCATAGTTATTTGTATTTTATTATTACTATTACAACTTGTATTATTTTTGCATTGCCTCATTTTTTTTATATTTGGACACATCTAGTACAGACATGAGAACATTCTGTACTCCCCAGGTGATGTGTTTTTTTTTTTTTGTCTTTTAATTCTTAAACACTTGCTAACCTTCTCTTCTTCTTTTTCTTTTTTATATAGAGTTTCCTTTTTTTTATCTAGGGCTTTCATGTATGTACTCTACAAACAGTGTTTGTATCCCTCCATTTTTATCCAACCCTAGGACCATGAAAGGGAGATGTCAATTGGCTACTGAAACAGACCATTTTATACACAGGGCTCCAGGTGACAGGACCATTTGACAGTCTCCTTCATACATTCTCAAGTGCATATTGCTAAATGCAATAGCCTGCTGTATTCAATTATAATCCACCCTGCCCTGCTCTCTATCAGTGTAAATTCCAGTTTGTTGGTTTGGATACCTAAGGTTGGTCATAAGTCCTTTATTACTAGCCATACACAAAGTGGTCTGACTTCCTATTCAGCATTCATGCCCTGGCCCAGCCAACGCAAGTGTGTCATAGACGCATGTCTGCCTTGCCCAATTTTTATCACTAGATTTTAATGTGATACTTTTCTGGTTTTACTGTCATGCACCTGGGCAGAATAAAGATTTTTGTTCTTTTCAAAATGAATTGTATTTTTTTTTTAACGTCTCAAAAGATCTTTTTTTTTTATTTTAAATGATGGCTCATTAGCAAGGCGCAAGAGTCAATCAGGCCTTCAGCTTATTGTGCAGGATTACAAATCTTGCCAATCTTGGCTACGATGATATGTGCGAACCATCGGCCTGTTTTCCCACCTGTCACTGCTTCTAAGATGCTGTCCTCCTTTACCTCCTGTAGGCACAGAGCAGCCCAAGCAGGTGATCGATAGTGCAGATACGGAAGAGAAGAAGTCTCAGATTAGTGCGGATAGTGGCCTGAGTGTCACCTCGGGATCTCAGGTAAGGTGCAGGAATTTCCACACTGGGCTTTCCTTGGATCATTGTTGGGATACAGTTACGAATACCTCTGTTAAGCTATGTGAAAATGTAAAGGTTTTCCTGAAAATAGTTACATTTTCTGATTTGCTACACAAGGTGGCAGATATTTTACAGATGTCACAGCAAGTGCATTGTCCACTAATCTGTTCTGTTATTCGCATTGATAGCAATTCTTACTAAAGCAACCCTGTTGGGGGTTAAAAATGCCAACAGCATTACCCAGTGAAGAAAATAGCTTGCTAAAACCCTGCTCTGTAGCAGAGCTTCCGGTGCCAATCCTACTCCACACTTGGGTGTGTGAAAGAGTGTTTCCTCCTTTGACCACTGTGGTTCCTACCCCTACACCACTACAGTGACCTGCAGTCACTAGGGGATAGCAGGAGAAATTACAGCAGCCAGCACGGTGATCTGATATTTGACACACCAGAGGAGTTGGGGACCATGCCAGGAGCTCTACCACAGAGCGAAGTATCAGCAAACTGCATGCTGGACAGAAAAGTATAAAACTGGTACTGTTGTTGCCATTTTTTTTTAATCCCTTTAAAAAAAAGGGTCACTTTTAAGGACCATCTGAAGAACTAATTGTTACACGAATTCCATGAAACTTGTTGAATTGCCAAAAATTATATCCACTATGGGCAACCTTACATTGCTGTTTTCTATTAGTTGTGCGTGTTTATGTACATTTGGTTGGGGCAAGGAGCTCATGGTCTTACCGGATGGGTTGTCTTTTTATCTTTTGTCTTGCCTCTGGAAGCAGCGGAGTGATTTGGATGTTGTCAGTACAGGACCTTCCATTCTCATTCGAAGCAGCAGTCAGGATTCTGAAATCAGCACAGTGGTAGGATCTGAGCATGCTTCCTTGTGCCGTGTCCCTTAGATGGGGGTGGAGGGGACATTTAGTGATGGGCTGATTCTCAAAGGATGGAGACTGCGGTTTTTCTACATTTGACAGCTCAGTCACGATTTCATTGCAGGTCAGTAACAGCTCAGGGGAAACACTAGGTGCCGACAGTGATCTGAGCAGCAATGCCGGAGACACATTGGGTGGTCCAGGTGGAGGTCGCCTATCAGGATCCAGAGGAGCTGTGTCCGACAGTGAGATTCAGATGAATTCTTTCAGTGGAGCCATATTTGTAAGGACTATAACCTCTTATTTAAAAGTAAAGTGTGCAATAGCTATAGCAGCCAATTCAAAATCCTTTTTAATTTTTCTTCTCTAAACTGATGAAAGGATGATCTGGTACTATGGATTAGTAGCTGCAGTTGTCCTAACTACTTCTCAGTGTTGTTATGTTTCCTTGGACAGACAGTATTGGAGACATCACTTTCCTTTTTTTTTTGCACCAGGGGAAGCCCCAGGTCCTGCGTCCTGGAGAGAGAATGAGTGGTGTCAGCCCTGCACACCCACCACAAGATGTCAGCCAGCGCATTTATCTGTATGAGGGGCTTTTGGGTAAGAAACACAGATCTTTAAATGAGAGTGATTGACCCAATCCCATAAGTACCCCTAATGCACACACATGGAGGGCAATAAGTCAAAATCTGGAGCAGCTTTGCACGGGAACCAATCAGCTTCTCCGTTTCATTTTCAAATCTTAACTGAAGAGAGAAGCTGATTGGTTGCCCTGTGCAACTGCTCCATATTTTGTCTGCTCCAGTTTTGAGAAAGTCCCCTCATGGTGTTTTATCCAGGCAAATGCAGTCAATGTTTGCTTGCAAAAACAACCATACTGGCAATGGTAAGCCTTCCACCCACAGTTTTTGAACAAAAGGAAAATTCAGAGTTCCAGCTAAAGTTTTTTACTTTAACAATCCACTGCTCCCATAATGTCCCCCCTATTCGAACCTGTGCTTCCAATTTGCTAGAAAAGCAACATCTGGATTATTCTGCCCATACACACTGTCAATTACCAGGAAACTTGTTGAGTCTACTGGTCATGCTGTCCCCTTGTAGGATTAACTGTGGATTATTATTGTCCCTAATGGTGACCTGTTTAAATGTACTCGGTAGGTGTTTGGTGGTTATAGTTTCAGCTGGCGTGAGTATCCCTAAGATACAGCTTGGCTGATGTAGGAACACAAGGCTTGTGGAAGCCCCAATATATAGTGCAAACTAGTACAGTCTCTTTTATCCATACCTAGCCTGCCTCTTTTTTTTTTAAATTATTATCTTCTAAGTGTTGTAATTAATCCTTTCAGCTAAAATAATATGTAACTAACCACTTGTATGTTATTTCATATCTAACATCTTTATGTCCTGTTCTAAAGACTTTTCTCTGCCCGCTCTTGTATTTTTCTGCTTACTAACCAGTTACTATATTTGTGGCCCTGAACTGAGCGGTGGAGCAGCCATTGTGAATGCTGTAATAGTACTCTTTGGGTTGCAGAATGTGAATTCACTGTGAACTTTGGGTGCCTCTTTCACACCCATGTTATTGTTCCAGTGCCAATGGATAGACCAGGCAAATTGCCCGATTGGTTCAGCTTACACCAATGCACTGTGTTGGTGTGCATTGGGGAAAAAAACCAAAAAGGAAGCTGCATTTTTGCACAGCATGTTTCAATGGGCTGTAACACATTGCAATACACTGCTGCATGTAGAATTAAATAGAAGTTTAAACATACTACTGTGTGTTGTAACACTGTATCTCAGTGCCCGCTGGTGCAAACCAGACCTAACTGTATATAGGTGAGAGGTGCTCTTTAACCTTGCCTTGCCCTTTTCTCTTTCCTATTTCTCTCTTTTTATGCTGCATTATGCTGTGGCCTGGCTTTGCACAGGAAGAGATAAGTCCTCAGTCTGGGACCAGCTTGAAGACGCAGCGATGGAAACCTTCTCACTGAGTAATATATTTATGTGCTTCTGCTAATTGTATTGCCATGCTTGCCTGCTGTATAGTTGTGATATAAGCCTACTAATATGTCTGCTGACCCCTAGGTGCCCTGTAATGAGAGAACATAGGCACACGTTTGATATGCTTTTCTCTTTAATTTGAAGGTGCATTTGGTAATGTTTTGGTTGAACTCTCCACCTGGAATTCCCAGAGTTGTTCAGCCAATTAGTCACATTAGTCTTTTAAAAAGTGCAAGTGCATTAACCTCCCCTGTCCTGATCATCACAAATAGAACTACAGGCCTATGATAAATTGCCATATTCTTATTGCTGTTACCAGTGAAACGTCCTCAAGAAAAATACAGCAAGTCCTGTTGCCTTGACTTATTTTTTACAGATATACCATGACCTGGATGAGTGAGAACCTTCACAGACATAAAAAAAAAATAGAAAGAAGAAAGTGTTAAGCGTTTGGTATTTACAGTGATTTGCAACATTTATTATTATTGCCCTTTAAGAATTCCACAGAACCTAAAATGACAGAAATGTTCGCCTTCATACCATCATGCACAATTAAGTTTGATTACCTTGATGACTTCTCTTTAACTAGCAGAAGCAGACGACAAGAAAATCTCTCTGTGGATGATTGGAGTACAGTACAGAAAGCCCTGAAGGAAATGTCTCTTCTGAAATAAATTCAAACTGCAGACAGTACACTACAAGAAACTGTGCAACAGAAATCGGTAGAGAGACTAGAGCAGTGGTCAACTTTCTTGATGTATGTGTCTCCTTACGCAGCTTTATTTACATTTAAAGGAGAACTATGGGGTCAGTGCTTTTCCCCATAGTTCTCCTAAGGGTCGCAGGAGGACACAAACTAGCGTCCTCTCGTGACCCAAAGCTCAGTATACCGTGAGCTACAGCTCGTGGTATTCTGAGACGCCACAGCCGGAACGGAACCCATCAATACTGTCTGGATCCACCCAGCTGCGTGAGTGACAGCTGGCTTTGCCTATCTAGAGGCAGAGCCAGCTGCGCCCGCCCCCTCCCCCGTCCGTTCGGCCAGTCAGTGCTGGAGGATCGGCGGGGGGGGGGGGAAATCCCTGCAGGGAGCCGTGAGTGACGGCTCTCTGCAGGGATAGATCGAGAAGTGAGCGAACGCCGGTATGTGTTTGCTCACTTCCCGATCTACTGAGCCGGCCTCTAACAGTTTCATTGTTACAGGTCGGCTCTGATTATGAGGCTGAGTGAACATCACTTGCCTCATAATTCTCCTTTAATCTGACACGTCATCTTGAGATTCAGGTGGCAGCGGTCACCTAAAGTTGCCCTGTTGACTACATGACTTCACCCTAGCTCCTAAAAGTGCATAACAATGTAAAAAAAACAGAGCCCTTTAATGCAGAGGAATGTACATGAGTTTGTGGCAATGCTGTGCAGATTTAGAAGCTAGAAGACATTGTGTGAGGTCAGGTAATTGGCAAGGCAGGGACTCCAAGTGACCTTTGACCTCCATCTTTCAAGCTAAACACTCAGACATTGTAAGTAAAACTAGGTAAGAGGGAAATATAAGTATATCATAAGTAGCTTTGCTACAGTAATTAAAGATGCTGTATTTAGCACCCTGTACATACCCAGTCTTGTATGATTTACGTTAAGGGGAACTTATTCACTTGGCGTTTTTTTTTGTTGGGTGCAAAATGCCACTGAAACTGCCACATTTTCCAGGTAAAGTGGTTAAGTTTATTCCAAGACTGCCTTATTTTGCAGGTAAGGAGCGCTCCACCCTCTGGGACCAGATGCAGTTTTGGGAGGATGCTTTCCTTGACGCTGTGATGCTGGAAAGAGAGGGAATGGGCATGGATCAGGGACCCCAAGAGATGATAGACAGGTGAGTCTAGGAGTCATCTCAACGCCTGCAGCAATAGGTCTGGGTGTTTTTGTGTTTGTTTTTTTCAGTCAAGTGCTTTCTTATGTCTTTAGGTATCATTCCCTGGGAGACCATGACCGGAAACGTCTCGAGGATGATGAGGATCGCCTTCTGTCTACTCTCTTACACAACATGGTGGCATACATGGTGATGATGAAGGTAAATCTGATGCATTATATTGTTTTATTATATACTGCTGTTCTGTGCTTTGAGTGTAGTTGTGTATGTGAGCAGTTGGGACAATGCACTTCACGTGTTTGTTGTAAAATAAACTTTTGTTCTATGTGTCACTAGGGACATCTAAATACACTGAGTGGCCAGATTATTATGACCACCTGACGTTTGTAGGCAAATTTGCTATAATTTGGCGCTGAAGTTGCTAGAGGGCCAGACCATTATAAATAGGGAAGCAGGTTGTTTACCACGACAGTAGAAGTGATTTTTTCTGAAGATATGGGTAAAAAATGCGATTTTAACAGCCTTTAAACGTGGGATGATTGTTGGCGCTCGGAGCTATGGAGCGAGTATCCGCAAAACAGCAGAATTGGTTAAATGTTCAAGAGCAGCTGTTGTTAAAGTGTTTAAAGATTAGACTGTCGAAAATCTGGGTCTGAACGTGCGAATTGTGGCCTTTAGCGACTAGTCAATGTTAGGGCAGAACGGAGAGTGGCAAGACTGGTACAAGACAACAGAAGGGCAACAGTGCAGTGTCAGATTCTATATATATATATATATATATACATACATACATCAGAAAAAAGAAAACTTGGTCAAAGGAGGAGAGCCTGGTCACGTGAGGAGGAGAGCCTGGTCAGTCATCTGACCAGCATGTCTTCCAATCACAAAGTTTTTTTTTACGGCTTTATGCACAAAACATTCCGTGGGTCACTGTGGGCTCAACACAGGGGTTGGCATTTTATGAATGCAAGCACAATGTGGAGAACAAAATGCAGTGTCCAGCCAAGTAAAGGTGGCAATATCTGGTCTTCATGATAAATTAGTATGATTTTGTAAAAAAATTTTATACAAGTCATTTGGAATGTTAGTATTATAAGTCTTATAATGCTTATTTATTGTATACTCACATAAATATAAGACAATTGCTGCATCTGCCATTGTTGGGCAGTTAAGACCCAGAATAATAAAAAAAAGTGTCATCATGAATTTTAGCCATTTAATTACTAATTTTCCCCTCAGCTAAACAAGACCGATCTCCGGAAGAAGGTTCGACGTCTGCTGGGGAAGTGTCACATAGGTTTAACGCACAGTCAACAGATTAATGAGCTGCTTGACCGAGTGACAGATCTGGTAAGACTGTGGATGATGAAAATGTCAGGTTTAGTATATAGAGGGCTAAAGAGGAGTATACTGCAAACCTGGGCCTCATCGAATATCGCATGTATAGTGCTCATGTATAAAACTTTCACATTCTGTCATTTTTGGAAGATGTTGATTGGTTACAATGATCACAACTATCTTTCAGTGTCTTGCATGAACTTTAGCTTAATTGCCTCTGCATTCGTGTTGGCAGCCTTTTTATAACTGATTAAACTACATGTCCTTGTATGTGATAGGAGAGAGGAAAAATGTTTGCTACTTCCTTAAGTCTTCAGCAGCCTTTGTAATCTTGTTCTGATTGATTTTTTGTTTTATCAAAGCAGCTGTTACAGAGCTGCCGAAATCTATAAGTACAGAAAATATAAATAAAGAACACTATACATACTAGGGATGCACCGATACTAGTATCGGTATGGGTGCCGATGCCGAATATTTGGGCAAGTACTGGCTCAAATGCTCCGATGCCTAGCCTGATACTTCCGGTTTCAGGAAGCCGGGCAGCATGACGCGCTGCCCGGCTTCCTGATACTGGAAGAATCGGACTACTTGTGACGAGGGAGCATGGAGCTGGCTTCCTGGCCAATCAGAAAGCCGGGCAGCGTGTAATGACATGCTGCCTGGCTTCTTGATTGGTCGGGAAGCTGGCAATTTAGGAAGGCAGGTGCCATGTAATGACACGGCGCCCAGCTTTCTGATTGGCCGGGAAGCCGGCTTCCTCATTGGCCAGAAAGCCGGCTCCATGCTTGACGATAAGCACAGGGGCGGCTTCCCTGCTAATCGGGGAGCCGGGTGGTGAGTCTTTACAGGCCTCTCGGCAAATCGGAAAGCCAGGTGGCAAGCCATTGCACGCAGCCTGGCTTTCTTTAATGGGACTTCCGGTATCATTATTCGGTATCGGCGAGTACCGAAAAAATATCGGTACTCGATACCGAAATACCGGTATCGGTGCATCCCTAATAACATTTAAAGAAATATGGATTCTCTGTAAGTGTGTTGGTGAATATTTATTTTATGACCGTGTGTAGCACCAGCAATAGAACAATCACAAATGATCTCTTTCTTAAAACACAGAACGGCCGTGACCTGAGCACTCGCCCCAGTGGTAGTCGTCACATTAAGAAGCAGACTTTTGTGGTGCATGCTGGGACTGACACCAATGGAGACCTGTTCTTTATGGAGGTGAGCAAACTGATCATGGAGAAAGTGGCGCCATCTGACCATGTTCTGTACCTTTTCATCAGCTAATGAGCCTTCTCGAATGCACCATTTCTTCGGGTTCCCGAATTCCTTCCTACTCTGCTGTATTTGTTATAGCACATCCAATGGAATCATTAATAATGAGGGGTTTGTTAGTCATGTCACCCCCTGAGCTGTAGATCTTGCTAACAAGGCAGTTTTAATATGTTGTATTACGAAGAAGTGCTTGCTACAGACGTATCTAAACCCAGATTGTTTTTTTTTTTTCTGTCCAAAATGGGACACTAAAAGATGCACAGGTGTTTAGGTCTAATTAAAAAAAACAGGGTATTGGGAAAAATAGCCATTGAAATAATAAAAGTAGAACTGAAGGCTTTTGTGTAACAGTCTAAACAAGCTACAAGCTACAAATCAAGTTACTGAATTCAGGAGCAGTGCAGCGTCATTGGGACATCATCCCAGGAAGCTGCATTAGGTGGGTTTCACTTGCCGGCTCAACAGGTGATTGTGGAACTTTGCAGGAGGATTAAGAGAAAAAAAGTGCAGATCAAGTTATAAATAAGTACTGCAGCACATAGTAGACCATAGTTCTACCTATCCCTGCGTAAAACTATTTGAACTAGTTTATTATTATTAGTGACATATTATTAAGCAAATGTGGGCAACCTAAGCCCAGGGTTAAGTCATGATCCAGCCCTTTCACACCTTCATATTGGTTACTGAGGTTGCCCATCAAGTTGAACCAGTAGGTGGTTTCAGGAGTTGAAAGCACATGGACATGGTGCCTTTTTGCTGCTAAAACCTATACAGTACTTTTATA